GGGGGGGAGAGGGAGCAAAAACCAACAACACTCAGGTTTTCCCTAACTACACATTGACAAATTGAAAAAACTCTGGTACTAAAAAGATGGGTTACTGTAAAAACACTTGGCATTTGAGATATGCTTGCAATTTGATCTGTATATCAATAACCCAAATATATTCCTCAGTGGTTTTTTATTATTATTATTTTTACTTTTTTCTGGTACTCTCCCCTTTGCTTCATTTATAGAATACAGCAAATCCTCTAAATAAATAACAGTTGCCACACTGGGCTGCATTAGGCCCAGCACTGCCACCGGGCAAGGAAAGGGGTGGTATGGCTCTGCTCTGCACCGTGAGGCCTCACTTCAAGTGCTGTGTGTGGGTTCGGGCACCACAACATAAGAAGGACACAAAGCTATCAATGAGGGGTCCAAAGGGTTACAAAGATGGTGAAGGGTCTGAAGAGCAAACTGTACGAGGAGCAGCTGAGCTGAGGTCCCTGTGTTTGTTCTAGAGTAGAGGAGCTGCGGAGAGCCTTCATGGAGGTGCAGCTCCTCACAGGTGCGGAGGGCAGCGCTGAGCTCTGCTCTGTGTGACAGCGACAGGGCCCGAGGGAACGGCATGGAGCTGCGGCAGGGGAGGGCAGTTGGGTGTCAGGAAAAGCTTCTTCACAGCAGGGAGGTTGGTGGGCATGGCACAGGCTCCCCAGGGCAGCGGGCATGGCCCCAAGTGTCAAAGTTCAAGGAGCATATGGACATTGCTTTTAGGCACAGGTCTGAATTTTGGTGGTGTTGTGTGGAGCCAGGGGTTGGGCGTGATGAACCTCGTGGGTCCCTTCCAACTCAGGGTATTCTGTGAATCTATGATCAACTGTGCTCATTTTAAAGTAGCTTGTCCATCTAAGCCCACGTTGGTAAGTGATTCACCCCTTTATCATTCTGTTCAAGTATATACAATGAATACCACACGTTACAGCATAAAATTTGGAAAATATCAGAGGCATCCACTCAAAATTTGATCGTATCTTTGAAAGCACTTTCCCCATGGATAAGACTTCTACAAAAAACAGATCTTGCATTATGCTGCAAATTCATGTGTTTCAGCCACACGCTGAAGTTTAAAAAACTTATACCACAAGATGACAGATTCCCTAGGATAAATAAGGGCAGCATACACTACAAAGAAAATAGCCACAAAAGGTCCAAAGTATGAAATTCCTCTAATAAATGCACACCTTCCTTTTAGTAGTTAGCACATCAGTCAGAGCTTCAGTCATTCAGTATGGCACTTTTCAAGGGACAGAGATTCACAAGGTTGGTTTCCTTCAAAAAGAGACTGTGGGCTCATGGGCGCTCTCCAGCTTCATGTCCTACTTCCCATGCTGCTGGGAGCTTCCAGATTCATAGAGAGAAGATCAAATTTCCTATTTCTTTTCTAGAAAGTAATTGGGGCAGATAAATCTTTTCAAAGAAATCAGCAACACACTAGAGAAGCAGAAATCATAATTTGGGAAGCCTGGTGAAAGAAGAAAAAGAATAGAGACAAGGAACTAGCTGCAAATAATTCCATTCAGAAATAGGCAGTATTTCTTCCTACCACACTGCTGCTATTCCCAAAGGATATGTGACAAGGCTAAAAATTACAACAATTAGTATCCAAAGTCAACAGGAAAAAAAACGCTTCAGAAACAGAGGTAAGAGCCACCCCATTTCTTTCCCACCTCAGAGTATTGAATATAACACCTTTCTTCCAACAGTAGCATCATTCAGATTTATTTAACCTTCTTCCCTCTTTATTCCAAAATCCAGGTTCACCCAAAAGCTATCACATACCCCAGGACTGAATGGTTTTTCACTGCAGCAACAGCAGTATCTGGTGCTGTGATTTAATAAAACTGCCTCTTTTTTTTAGTCCATCTATCACAATTATACCAGACTGCCATGTTAAGTGTATATTTGGATAATCTAAGCAGAAATATTAAATAGCTCTTAAAGTGCTTATGCCTCTGAGCCTGGAAAGTCAGCTTCTTTCTGTCTTGCCTCAAGTACAGAAATCTCTGCACATGTTCCACTTAAAGGCATTCCCAGGAGACAAGAAGCAAACAAAATCACAGGTGGAAGGACTTTAAGAACATTGTCTCCATCCTCCTCCAGAAGCCTTACCTTAGGAATTCAAGAAATTATACTCCATTTTGGAAAACAAAATGTAAATGATAACGAGTTATTACAAAGCAAATTAAAATGATGCTGATCCTCATAAACTAATAAAAGGCAGACTGAGAAAATGCCAGGCATCGCAGTTTCTGTATGTGTCATGCATCTACCTAGACAAACCTACTAGCCTGAGGATATTACCTCTTCAAACATGGTTTTATACCATAATTTTATTAAACTGTAAGTAAAAACTAAATTTGATTTGTCCAATAAAGATGGTTTTTCTTTACTGACAAATTGGTGTGGGTTTTTTGTTTGTTTTCTTTTCAAGATCAGAATTAAAGCAAATTCATCCAGAAAGTGAGATCATAACATTCAGATGTCATTACTCTAAGTTCCCTCACCAGCTGCAGCTCCACAAATACCCCACAAATTCAAATTGAAAAATGTGTCTCTTGACCTGCTGGCTCACTTTCTTCTGAGCAATTTTTCAACTGTAAAATAGCTCAATAGCCTGCAGCGACTCATTTGGAGGTAACAGCACTGACTATAAGCACATTAGAAGCAAATTAAATACAGATAAAAGCTAAGAAACAAGGACATGCATCATTTTGTCCTGCTAATAAAAAGATGCTTGTTGGTAGAGGAGACAGAGCAGGGAACTCCTCCCTTCATCCAGTAAGCTGCATGTGCCTCCACTACTTCAGCCAGACACGTGATCCAGTGTACACACTGGATTAAAAGCTCTGCCTGGCAACCCAAGGGAATGGTGAACAGA